AAACATGTAAACCAGGCAGGACGACACAACCATTGTGCTTTCATTTGATTCACTTCATGCAGAGAAAGCATAATAATAATAATAATAACAACACTCAGCACAGTATACGTTTTATTTCATGACACTAGACATTGAATCTATCGAATTCAGGCCAGCACAAATGATGACTGATATTTCTACAAACATATGAACATGGCTATCAGATATGCTACAAATATACGAATCTTCAGTTTTTTATGCTTTTGTTTATTTTTTCTTTCCAGGTGTAATAGAAGTGGCTGTGGTCCAGTTTACGATGACGTCACGTTATCGGGAGACATGACGCTTCACTGGTGGATGCATTGGTTTTGGATCACCAAACCAGCAGGTAGTTATTTTTCATTGTTTCCTAATGCCAGCTGCAGAGGCAAGAGGTTTTTCCCTTCTGCACAGAGTCCAGACTGGCTCTGGGGCACACTCAGCATCCACTTATCCAGTGGTTACCGGAAGAACGAACCTTACTATTCACCTCCATCTCGGCTTGAGTACCGAGGGAGGCAAGTCTCATGATCCTAAGATTAATTGAACTGTTAATGTCACGTGTGCACATGTGTCACCTCTGAGGTCTAGTGGTCAGAGTTTCTGGTTACAAATTCAGAGGTTCTGGTTCGATTCTCGGGGCTACCACATTTTCTGAGAAGTAGTGGGTCTGGAACGGGGATCCGTTGCGCAGACCACGCGACACCATCTATCCGCAAAATTTGGCTCTAACCTCACCGACAAGCGGCGGTCGCTCGGACTAAAACCACGGAGTATTTTCTTGGGCATGTGTCACACTATATTCGTCAATTGAGTGGATATCCCATCGTCTACAAAGAGTCCCTGCTCTTAATTAGTGAGACATCGGGTCATTAGGATGTATTTTGTAATGGAGATATAGCTTCACTATTCTTGATCTCGGGATTAGATAGAAGTGAGTGGTCAGCATCCCACCTACTTCCGCTTTACCCCCTGGGAAAATAGCCCTCCCTAATCATTGGATTGGAGGTGGTGTGGACCCCGGAGCCGGTCTGGACACTGTGGAGTAGAGAAAAATCCCTTGCCCATGCCGGGAATCGAACTCCAGCCGTGCATCCTGTGGCCCGTCGCTATATCGACTGAGCCATCACGGCTCTCAAGTATTACCGAATATTGGTTTGATATTTAAAGAAATATTTTAATAACTTAAATTCAAACGTTAACCGAAGTTCACAAAATTATTCATTAGTATGTAATTTCCATATTCATAATGTGTATATACATATTAACAGTCTTCAAGTGCATAGAGTCCCATTACCACTTCTACACTACATGTTTNTGTGTGTGTGTGTGTGTGTGTGTGTGCTGTTTTCGTTCTCTTATATTTTTGATAGAGTTATGGTGTTGTGTGGTGAGTGTGGTGGGAGTAGGTTGTGGGGTTGTATTGTGTTGTTCTGTGTAAATTGTGTGTAATTCATGAAATATTGGGTTATATATTTCTGTATTTATGTTATTCATATGCATGTTTTTCTTTGTTGTTCTGTATATATGGTAGTTTTCCAATGTGTTTAAATATTGTCCTTTTTTATTCGTTGCTATGATGTCCATAGTATTTTCTATTGTACCGTATGCGTGTCCCGTATCTAATATTTGTTTCGAGTATCCTGTATTACTGTTATTGTGTCTTATGTCTTGAATATGTTCTTTATACCTGCAGTAAACCAGAAACTACAACACGAAATGAAAACAATATATTTAAAGCAACAACAAAAAATAAAAAAACATGGAGAAAACCCAAGCAACCATGAACAAGCATAATAACACAAATTATGCACGAGTAAAAAATTGTACGAACACACATTTTACAAAAGACGAAATTCAGCTCTTAAACAAAGGATTAAAATACAATTTACACTACAAAAACGAAAAAATGTCTTGAAACATTATTTCTCGAAGCAGAAACCAACCAAACCAAACTAGATATAACAACATAACTACTATAGACACGTAGTTGCAAAACAAATTAAAGATATTAAGAGAAACAAAGATATTCATAATAGCTATAATAGTAAGAGAGAATGGAAATTAACTATGAATATAAAGAGGAAAATTCTAGATAATAAATTGATAGTAACAAAAGCAGATAAAGGGAAGACATTAGTAACAATAACAGAAGAAGAAGACTAACAAAAAATAATTAAATTCATACATGAAAATAATGTTACACTAATTAGCAAAGACCCAACACAACAATACAAAAATAATATAAAACAAACAATAAAACTATGTACAAATACAATACAAAAAAGACAAAAATGGAAATACACAAACATGAATCCTATAGCTCCAAATTTACACGCCACAATAAAGCTACATAAACATAATACACCTATTAGACCCATAATCAATTGGAAACATGCCCCAGCATACCAACTAGCAATAGTGTTATCTAAGACATTACAAGAATATTTACAATTGCCAAACGCATACAATATACTGAACTCCATACAGTTAATGAATGATTTAACACTATTATAATAGATGAAAACATAAGATTATGTTCTTTTGATATAGAGAGCATGTACACGAATATACCAAAGAAGATATAATGAATATAACTAATAATATACCGTATTTACGCATGTATAGGCCGCGTGCGTGTATAGGCCGCAGCACAATTTTCAGACAAATTATAGAAAAAATAATTTTCTTGGAATATTATTTCAGGAGTAGAACACCCTGTATTACTAATTATGAATATATATTTTTTTAAATGAAGTGTGATTTCGAATATTTCGAATATAAGCCGCACCCCAGTTTTCCTCTTGAATTTTTGGCCAAAAAATGTGAGGCCTATACATGCGTAAATACGGTATTACAACACAATCATAACACAAAGAGAAATTACGCATATATTTAATACTATACTAGACCAAAATTATTTTCAATATGAACAAAAATATTACAAACAAACAGATGGTTTAACTGTGGGAGTACCAACATCGGCAATATTGGCAGAAATATATGTCCAAAACATAGTAAAGTAAGTAAAGTAAAGCTATCCCTGTAACAGGCCGTGAAGGTCCATAGGGTTGTGAGACGTTAAGGGTCCCACATAACCTTGACAGTCGGCTCGAAGATGGCGGTAAGGTTGTGAGCCTTACGCGCCGGCTGCGCTTCACTCCCCAGGAAAATCATTTAATTAATTCCTGGTATTCATTTCTGTTAGAGGCTGAGTAAACCCCCTAGTGCGGTCGAAAGGATTAAATCAATTGAAAAAAAATCCAATGACCTCATCGGGAATTAAAAAAAAATATAATTGGATATTTCAGATGTGTTGACGACATACTAATATTATACGATATAAAGAAAACAAATATTGACGATATGATTATAGAATTCAATAAACTACAACCAGCAATAAAATTCACAATAGAGAAAAAGAGCCATAAATCCATGGTTTATGCTAACCGTCTTACAGTGTATACACTTTTTCACCTTATTCTTCACTTCCACTCTACATGTTTCAGCACTAGTGTGCCATCCTCAGGTGTCTTTATGCACGTTAAACTATTGTACTGCATGCCATGATGTCTTCATTCTAAAATAACTAAAATCTGTATTCGTCATATATGTCGATGAATTCCAAATAATAAAACTTTTCAGAATTCATCCTACGTCGTACTCAAACACGCGAATTACGCCAATCCTCTTTTATGTGAACATTCTTCCTTCATACATTTGTGTATTGTGTTGTGTGTTGTGTGTTGTGTTTTGCTCCTGTTACTGCATGCGTTGTACAACCTTATAAGCCCAGCAAATAATTACCCCATTACCAGAACAGCAAAAGATACAGAAATAGCTACTATAAATAACATACTTATAAATAATAAGTACAACACAGATATAATTACAAAACTAGCTACAAAAAAGAGAAACCAAAATATTACAGGGAATCTAGAAGGACAAAAAACAAAGATGAAATGGGCAACATTCACATATATAGGAAAACAAACAAGAAATATTACAAAAATATTTCGAGACACAAAATTAAAAATGGCATTTAGTACGAAGAACAATTTACAACACATATTCAAATCAAAACCATAAATAGATAAATATAACAGAAGTGGTATCTATAGAATGAAACGCCTAGATTGCCCCATGGAATATATAGGACAAACTGGAAGGAAATTTAATACCAGGTATAAAGAACACATTCAAGACATAAGACACAATAACAGTAATACAGGATACTTGGAACACATTAGATATGGGACACGCATACAGTACAATAGAAAATACTACAGACATCATAGCAACGAATAAAAAAGGACAATATTTAAACACATTGGAAAACTACCATATATACAGAACAACATAGAAAAACATGCATATNCATTAGAAACATAAGAAGAACGACCCCCATGTGGATGATCAATAATACACACGAATTTAAAAATATGACGTATGAGATAACAGGTTTTAACAAGTTTTAAATACATAAATGTTATTATTATTATTATTATTATTATTATTATTATTATTATTATTACATAAGGACGTATACAAATTTAATATTATTTGTAAATGGACATATAAAGGCAAGCAGTGAAATGGTTGACGGATCGATATACCTGAAAGTGTCATGTGAAAGAAGGGGATGGTTATCTGAACAGTTTGGCTTCTCTGACTGTGAAGATAAATTGAATTTCAGATAACAGTGATATGTAGCTTATCAGCTCTTTTCAGCAACTTCATTTCCTTTCAGAACCCACATTTGGACAGTTATTCTGAATGAAGTTCCATTGTGTTGGGGCGGTAAACAGAAGTAAGGTGATCCTGTTCATAACCAGAAGATGTAGTTAGCATTATTTTATTTGTTTATGTAGTTAGGTGCTGTTTTCTCAGCACAAAGACTTGTTTTCAGTCCCTCTAGACTTCATGTGAAGTTCATGGTGGATGAAGTGCCACTGGAGAATGCTTTTTTGGTTTTCTCCATGCTAATCATATTCCATAATTGCTCCATACTTACCACCACACTTTGAAGTGAGAGGCAGTTGTAGAGTCCTTCTTCTTCATCGATTAGGCCTTATGTGGTCTGTTCTGCCCCCTTGAAGAGTAAGCTGATCCGTCCATCTTAACTTTGGGCGTCTTATGTTTCTTCTTCTTTTGGGGTTGTATGTTAGAATTTTCTTCAGAATCCACCTTTCTGCCATTTTTGAACATGATATTTTCAGTGTGTTCTGGATTTTATAAGTTTATCGCTTATATTAAACGTGTTCAGCTTTTCCCTAATTTTAGCTTTCCTTGTTTGGTCTTCATTCTTCATTCTACACTCCTCAAGAATTTCATTACTGTAGAATAAGT